CGATAGTCCCTAAGTAGAAAGCTAGCGCTAAAGAGTCCGTAGGCTAATAGATTGATGCCCTTAGGCGATAAGGCGCTCGTTTATATGCTAGAGGATAATCTAGTTAGAATATCCTTAATAAAAAGAAGAAAGAATCACGTCTCGTATATACTCGAGGTCTTTTACTAGTCGCATTGTAAAGAGTAGAGACTAAGTGTATAATCTAAATTAAAGAAATTTTTATAAATAAAGTGGTATAGTGATTTAGTGGGTTTAGGTTTTGGCACACTTTGCGGACCTTAGCTAATGTGCCACCGTACAATGGGCAAACTCCACAATATTGCGGTGTTCATTCGTAATTCCACCATCCACAATGATGCATGGGATGACATTGCAGGAAAGGCGCTCGGAATTGACGTCACCCGTTGGAACTCATGGTTCCGGCTACTTGATGCGGCTATAAGCCAGGAGGGCCCGTTGTCAATATTCCTCAATTAATACCACAACGAGCTGGAGGGTGATATCCTTACGCACGACGATTGGCAACTACTCAAAATAACTCACGAGTTCTTGCAGCCGTTTCACTAGGCGACCTTGGAGCAGCAGATGGAGTGGGCATCAATAGACCAGGTGCTAGAGAACATGGATATCCTCTTCATGCAGTTTGAGAATGCCAAGGTGAGTGTGTCGCGGGCAGTACGATCTACCACCTGAACGGTACCAACGCTAATTAATGCAGGTCAAATACGCCGGCAACGCGCGTATGGTTCATTCCATCCATATAGGCTAGTGGGTTCTCTCGAAGTATTATGAAGAGAGTGACAGAAACCCCATTTATGCTACAGCCATGCTGCTCTATCCAGAGAAGCGCAGAAGGTACCTTGACCGCCACTGGGCAGCGGAATGGAGACGGACCGCCATTGCTGGTGCACGGCAGCATTGGGCCAAGTATAAGGACCGACCACTGCCGTCGAATTCTACGGCGCGGCTGAATGATACCGAGCGACGAGAAGTAACCCCGTACGAGCGCATCAAACAGTCAATGAGCGTCTTAGATGAGCCTAGAAATGAGGATAAATTTGAAAAGGTCATCAATTCTCCGCCAAGACCTATGACGACAAGCACGCCGCTTAAATGGTGGTGCCGAGAAGAATAGAGGATTGAGTATCCACGTTTACACTAATTGGCCATTGACGTACTTAGTGTACCGGCGATGTCGGACGACCCGGAGCGGGTATTCTCCTGCACACGGCGGACAATCTCATGGGACAGGGCACGGCTCTCGGCTGATACTATCGAGAAACTTCAATGTCTGAGCAACTAGGTGAAGAACGACTTGATCCGCAAAGTGTATGTGGCAGTAGAGGACGAGGTTATGGAAGTTGCTGGCTGCGACGACAATATAAGTGAAACTTCAATCTTATATTCTTAATAATTCATAAGCTTAAGAATAGATAAGAATATAAGGGTACGACTATGAATATATAAGAATATGGCAAAATTATGTATTTATTCATTATTGGGATGTCTGCTCGAGTCGCGCTATGCTCCCCCATTCTTTTGGATCTCCCCAGAGGCTCGACGAGGGGCATCTTGACCGGTCTGTCGCAGAAAAAGTCGGCAAACATGCCCAGGGCGTTTGCACCTCCGCCGTAACAAGCCACAACGTCGTCTAGTAGGCCGCCTGGCCGATGATGCGCTGAAAGTCACGGATGATCCAAGGAAATGGATGGGGACCGACGGCGCTAATGATAGTTCATCCACGGCTGGCCGTGAACTACGTGCGGCCGATTTTTCTAGAGGCGTATCCGATGTATGTTCTAGGCTTCCACGAAATCGAAGAGTTCTTAACGCAGAATATCCTCGTAGACGGCATAGAGGGCAATCTAGTCCTCAAGCATATCGCCGTCGAAGTCTCTATCTCTCGCGAGCTCTCTAAAGTACTCGACCTACTGCCGGGACGAGACGTGTAGCATTCTCTCCCACTAGCTCTCGATCTTAACGTTTTTCGTGCTAGGAGCTGCTTTATACGAGTCTTTGAGTCGGTTTCCTTGTTAAAATACCTATCTATGCCACTCTACTCTCCCTTTGGACCTTAAAACGAAGTTCTAATAGGCTGCTGCGACTAGTGGAGTTTCGCTACCCCTATCGGCTTATAGAAACCACGGTCGCAAGCCGTAGGTGTCATATGCCGCTAAGTACTGCTTTAATACGCTTAGAGCAGTCGTGGCCGAGTGCCTAACGTAAAACTAGATAATATTGCGGGAATATATATTAATCGCTACGTATAATTCGAATCCGTACGCTTTAAGCTTATCGTAGCCGTTAATATACCACTAATAGTTCGGGCCTAGGACGAGGAACTCTCCTTTCTTTCTCCGGAATATCCTTTTACGGAGCTTGACTTCGTTCGGGAATATAATCTTATATATCTAGAAGAGAGGGTCCCTTAGGACCTAAAGCTGCATTTGCTGGCGAAGGTAAGGCTAAAGAAGACTCTTGCTATATCCCGAAATAGCGTTAGACCGCTGTGTTATCTCGATAATAGCTTGCTCCGTCTTCTCTAGAAGTGCAAGCCGTTCTTCTTCGCTATTGAGCCTTCGTACCTAGCGATGGTCTAGGTAGAGCCTAATTCGTTTTAGACCTCGCTTCGTGATAGGCCAACCTTGTCTTTGTAGAACACTAATCGTCTGCTTTTCGGTTAGCCTAACCCGAAAGATTAGGTCGCGTATTATCTCGATTAGCTCTAGAGTTTCTCTAGTCCGGGTTTATTGGCGTGGAAGATCCCAGTCTATAATCCGGCGAGATAGGGTACTTAGATTGACAACAACATAGAAGTGCTTGCGGAGCTTATAACTAATCCTGCTCCGCGAGACGCCGTTGAGGTAAAGGCGGGACACATAGTCGCGGTGTTGGTCGATTGCACTACGCGGACGTGCTGTGGCAAAGACTAGCGCGCAGTAGACCTAGGCAACGCTGATGGCCAGTCTCGTGACGAAAGGATTGCAGGTAACTGGCGAGGAGAGGGATGGCTAGGTGTTGAGGAGGTGCGGGGTGGGCATTTTCTGTCTCGCTGCTGCATTGGCACTGGCCAGCTGCGGCTTCGTAGCGAAATGAGTGTTGGGCCACCTAGCTGCCCGAACGGGAACAGGGGCTGGCGCCAGTGCATTTAGGGGCAGCTCTCGAATTGCCAATGAACCAAGCTAGGCTTGGCCCGTGGTGTCGCGGCAGGTATTTACGGATCTAAATTCTCTGCGCGCCCTATAGCCTACCGTCCCTCTTCTATTTGACTTCGCATGAAGCACCTAGGAAGGACCGACGCGATATCCCCTAGCGATACCGACAGCCTCGGCGAAAGCGAAGCTGCTAAGCTGACTAGGGCGCGGAGTAGGGGCACTAAATCAATTCGCAAGGACAAAGGACCATCCCGACCTGGCGACTATAAGCCCCTAGGCAAGGTCCCTATAAGGTTCGAAATATACTTCGTCCTAGAGCATAGCTGCTAACGCGAACTTTCTTACGGAAGAAGAAGAAGAAGGCTAAGAGACTTCCCCCGGTTAGCACGGTTAGAGACTTCCTATGCCGTCCCTGCGTTACACGAGCTATTAAGGCTCCCGGCTATAAGTGTGCTTCGCAAAATAGTATGTTAAATATTTATAGGCAAGGACGCTTACTCCGCTAATTCTGCCTTTAGACACCGGCGCTGCGTGCTAGGACTGCGCCAAGAATGGCCATACCTATAAGCCGGTAGGTGGTTCTATAATGGTTTTAATAGCCGTGAACTAATTAAACGGCGGCGCTTATAGGTACTAATCAGCGCTATCGCTGCCGTGCGTGCCTTCTGGCAGCTCAATAAGCAGCTTAAACTTATAGAGGAGGACCCGAGCAACGCCTAGAGTAACGCTGCGTAGCAAGCAGCATAGTAGATGCGGGCATATGGTCCTAGTGTAGCGGCTCCTTCTGCTATATCGGGCCCGCTTTACGTCCTAGCTCCCGAAGAGCGGAAGATTTTAGCGTTAGAGACTATTACGGAAGCCGCTCGCTTATAGATTATAAGTAGTAAATATTCGTTACTTATACTTGTTGCTAACCTTATTAGCAGTAACTAAACACCGTCGACGAGGATAAAGAGGAGGCTAGGTAGAATAGAGGAGATTAATGCCTAAAGCGACTTTTAATTAAATTAGATTGCGTAGTCTCCTAGTAAACACACTGATTAGTCGGCTCGCTATATGTCCGACCTAATTGCCAACATAGCCTGCAAAACTAAAAGACCCTAAGCTAGGGTACTTACGTCGAAGTACTGTGAGGTAGCTGCATAATAGGCTAACCTGTTCTGGCATCGTACCCCATAGTCTTGGGGGTTTTGCAACACTGACCCCTATAGCCCACCGTACCCATGCTTAGCGCGATAATCCCTGCAATATGTCTGTCCGAACCTGTCTGTCCGGAGCCATCCCGCTTTATGCCCCCTACCTGCCTTGCCCCCTCCTCTCGCTTGCTCTCCTTCTTCTACCAGGCACCGTGTCTATTTAATTAGCAAAGTTGTATACTACGTTGAGAATATAGTCTCCCACTATAGGAACCCTAAGCAGTTTTCGCGCCTTAATAGGGAAACGGCGAACCGTTGCGTTTCGGAATTATTCGCCCGTCGGGTTTAATCACCGACGTCTGCCGACTCTACAACCGTTTGAGCACTTATGGGCTTGCGCATGCAAAATAGTTCTAAGACTGTGATAAGTGATTGAGTCATATAGGAGAGAACTCATTTGCGTCTAGGATAGTCCTTGGGCTACGTGGACGACACTGACTGATACCGAACCTAAGTATATGAAATATTGAAGAAAAGGCGCTGCTTGGCAGAGTGCACTCATGGTACAAGATTGCTCTATCTAATTACTCACATGACAGATAGGTCAGGTGAATTTCATCGGCGGAGGTTGAAAATAACATACAAATTGAAGGCAACAACGTCAACACCGGGACGTCTCTCGCGGCACACCGTAGTCCCAGGCATCCGACTAGAGAGACAGTAGGATTCTAGCGTCGTAGATGGGCTGGTAAAGCGGGCAGAACCTGTCTATTTGGTTGGGACTGGTGACCACCGAGGTAGGTTTGCCGGTCCCATCGTCACCACCGGGTCTGACACCGGCGCCGAATATGGCAATCTTAGGCACCGCCTGCCAGCCGGGGCCCTGGGCTGGGTTCTTGGCAAAGTCTGCCCAGGCTTTCTGCATGGCCATGCTGAGCTTGATATGGTAGGGCGTCGCCCCGGCTTGCGGATACGTGCCGAAAACGAGGTTGATCTCGGCCGAGTGGTACGCACCGGCCCCGGGGAAGATTTGGGTGTTGGCAAAGGCGGCGTCAAAGTAGTGGCGCCACGCCGGGATCCCGACGGCCGCCGTCTCAGTAGACACGACCTTGGCAGGACATTTAATAAGGAAGTCGTTGAGAATGGCGGCTAGCTGTGTGTTGACTGTGCCGTTGCCCGTGTTGGGAGGATAAAGACTAAGCAGCGTGTTTATTAGAAGCGACGAGTTGGGTGGAAACACCTGAGAGAGGGTGCCGCGAACGTCAGTCACTCCGTAGACGACAAAGGATCCCTCGTCGGCGTTGGAGCCTATGAGGATAGGCACGCGGGCGATGCGCGGATTGGCGGGCGTCGAGCTGCGGCGGTCGACGCGGCCTGTTCCCTTCCAGGTGGTTCCATTGTCGTAAATGGGTGCAAACGAAAGCTGCTGATGCTCGATTATGCTCTTGATGTCCGAGGCTGAAACCTTGCGGACACAATCGAGAGCGCTGAGCGCCGTCGTGCAGTTGGTGGCAATGACCAGCTTGGGCCAAGACTGGGCAGAGGCTGTGCTTGGCGTCGAGATGGAGTCCTGGCCGGACTCCATGATGGCCCCGATGAAGGGCACCGGCAGCGGCGGATTGGTGACGAGCACGTCGACGCTCTGTGCGCCAGCGCCCTCGCCGAACAGGATGACGCGGGTCGGATCGCCGCCAAAGGAGCGGATGTTGCGCTGGACCCAGTCCAGGGCCAGACGCTGGTCGAGGAATCTATCAAGGCACGAGAGCTGTCAGTTATTTCCTCTTACATGGGATGGAGTCATGGGCCAAGGCTGAGGCGGCCCTGCCTTAAGACACGGAAGCTCCAAGAACACATGGAAACTCACCCCAAGTTCTGCTGCGACGTGGGCTTCTCGGGCTCTCCAGGAAAGCCAAAGACATTGGTGCGATAGTTGTGCGTGACAATAATAACATCCTGGTTCTCCGCAAAGCTCGTGCCATTATACTGATGAAGCGTGCCGGTCCCAAAAGTGAAGCTGCCGCCAAAGATCCAAAACATGACGGCCTTGTTCGATCCCGCAACGGCCCCGGCGGGCGCGTACACGTTGAGGTAGAGGCAGTCCTCGCTCTCCCCGGCAGGCGGGCCGGGCGTGCTGAACCACTGGATGGTGTTGTTGCGGGCGTTCTCGGGGTAGTTGAATTGCTGGACGCAGGCGGGCTTGTACTGCGTGGCGTCGAGGGTGCCTTGCCACGTGGGAGCCGGCTGCGGCGGGTTGAAGCGCGTGGGCGACGCGGCGAAGGGGATGCCGAGGAATTGGTTGACCGATCCGACGGACGTTCCGGCCACGGGACCGCCAGAGACGGTGACGGTCGGTTGGGTGCCTGGGACGGCTTGGCCGGCGGCTGCTGAGAGCAGACTCAGGGCGGCGATGAGGAAGATGGGTGTCATTGCGTTCTTCTCCTAATAGAGGCTGTGTAGATGGATGACTACTGAATAGTCCAGGGATTGCTGAGTTGTGCTGAGATGCATCGTGATACTCATCGAGGCCAGACATGGTGATTAAATAGAATCAAGGCGAGCACTTGTGTGAAGTGGCCACCCTGCCCGTCTCTCGCCATGGCGCTGTGTCTTCGTGTATGCACCGCTTCATACCCTTGGTTCGGGACACGGCAAGTCGTCATCGCGGCGCAAGTTGCTGATGATTCTCGCGTCGTAGTAAAGTATGTGGCGGAACACTTCCAGACCAAGGTGCGCCTCTAGCTCATGTCGTGATCAGACTCGCCTCGCACGGAGTCCAGTGATCTTGTTGGACTGGACTGGACTGGATTTCGAGGTCGAATCGAGTCCAGTCCAATGCACAGCGCTGGGACTCCAGAACCGCCAATGCAAATCCAATTCTTAAAATGGATTAGCTTAAGGTAACGTCGAGATTCCGTAAATTTTTAATTCACCATATCTCTGACGTTGAACCACATACCTACAATAAGACACCCTCATGGCCTCGACTTGGTAGATGGTAGACCGCAAATGCCAACACGGCGGGTGATGTCTGTAGAAATCCCCGCCAGGCCGCACCATAGATAACCGCTTAAACGGGTGTTACCCTTCCTGGGCCACGTCGCGCACCAGCAGCTATCCTCACAACTGCTGCAACCCACCGACAACCCAGACATCCAGTCGTGTTGCTCCGTATCGCGTTCTCAGCTGCGTTCCTTGTGGGTCATGGCGAGGTGTCTGAGATGACGGAGGGCGGAAATGAGCATATATCGTCATTCCTAGCTAAAGGTACCCTGTTGAGGCGCTACCACCTCCAGTCAGGAAGGACAAGGATCCAGACCCAGCATTCGATCGGCAGAGGGAACATAAGCGCATTCGCATAGACGGCCCGGCTGCTGCCACCGATCTGTATGAGCAGTATATTTCGACCGACCGGCTGCATGACGAGGAGGCAGGTTGCGATGAGGCCATCGCCTATTGGCTATCCCGTTATGACTCGCAAAGAGACCTCGCCCGCTTCGCTCTGGATCTATTTGCGGTTTCCCCAATGTCAGATGAGTGCGAACGGCTGTTTAGTAGCGCAAAGCTTGGTATAGTTGATCGTCGAGGTAGGCTTAAGGCAGATATCATAGAGGCTTGTGAGTGTCTACGTGCCTGGTATTTATTTATTTAATTGTATTACGCCCGGAGGGTTCCCCCCATAGAGCCACTAAGCTAAGCTATAAACCTTCTATATATAGTCCCATCTCACCTAAAGCCCCACACCTCTTTTCATCTATTTCTAGCCTCGATCGCTGTAACATGATAGGCCTGCTTGAAGGTCAGTTTCTCTAAGTGTTCAGCGTCCTACCTTTAGCAGCTAAAGCGCGATCTATTAACTTAAAGACTATTCGATGTTTATGTCTTCGATCTATAGTTAGTCCGTTATCGGCTGCTAGTCTATATTAAGGCGTTTAGTTGCTAACGCGAACTATACTATCGCTTATATAGCCTTTATATCCGGCTACTACTTATTATTATCTAATACTACTTTGCCTCCTAGGAAGAACGATAGGTCCTTAATCTTATCGCGTGCGTACCGAAGTATAATCTATCGCTATAATATCTATCTATTATATTGGAAAAGGAAATATTCTACTATCTCTGCTATCTATCTATATATATACTTATCCGAATCTAAAGCTCCTATCTTATAAAGGTAATTATTTAGTCGAGATTTACCGGTGCGAAGTTGCCTTAATACGCGTGCTTCTTTCTTTATTAGTTCGTTATATAACTTTTAAGTATACCGACTAGGTAGCGCTTTATTAATCTTTCTCGACTACTTCCCGACTCGTTCTAGAATTTAGTTAATCTATCTCTATCCGTTAAGCAGTAGTTATAGCGTCGTTAACCTTACTTTAAATGCCGCTAGTTCGGCAGCGTATTCGTCCCTAGTTGCTCTCTTCGCGGCTACTTTAGCTAGTAGGCTTATCGTAAAGTCTTCGTAGGCGGGTACCTATCGAAGGGCAACGCTATATCCTCTTCTCCGTAAAGTCTCGATATATTCGTATATCTCGCGGATCGTATATTATCCCGACTACTATCGCGGCCGCGTAATAACTTATAAGATAAATAGGTTACTTATTACGATTATTATGCCTCTACGACGTAGACTAGCTAGTAAGCACTATAATATTATTATAATCGCTATAAGTCCTACCGTATAAGCGTTCTACTCGTCGCTAGGTCTAACTATAGTAGAGTAGCTAGCTAGTACTTCGCCTAGGCTATTATAAGACGCGTTTTAAACGACGCCTCCTATTCCGACTAGGCCCTTTCGCTATAAGCTAGACATCGCGATAACGATACTATTTTAACGGGGACGAGGGCATATACCTAAAGCACGCGTAGTACGTAGCTAAGGATTAGTAGAGCAATTAACTACGTAATTATCTAATTATCGGTCTTATATATAGCTCTAAGGGCCTTAGGTTATAAATATAAGTCTTAGAGATTTTCTTTACTCTACGCCTCTTTATCTCTACTAGAGTCGCGTAACTAGCGGCATCTACTTTAAAGGGGAAAAATAAAAATTTAAATTAACTATAATTAAGGAAGATACTTAATTAAATAATCGAGGTCTTTATAACGCCTTTAAGTATACTTAAAAGTAAGTTAAAAGGGGGGGGGGTGTCACGGAGTAGGCAGAGGCGTGTGCGCAGGTGCCGTCCGTAGGATGATATTAACAAGCTATGCAGAGCTCTTCTATGCGCGGCTGGCCCGCCCCCATACTTACGGGATCCGGCCCTCCGCACGTAACTACACGGCTTAGGCCGCGGCCCAAGCCCATCACCCACAATAGTCAAAGACTCTTATACAATGCCCTCCCTCGAGCGCGGCGCAGCGCTGCCCTATTAACGGCTCCCGTATAATTAGGCCCGTGCCGCGGGCTCTTCCCTGCCCTTTCCCGTTAATAGGGCCGGCCCTACTAGCCCTATTGTCCCCGCGCCCGTTAGCCCGGGCAGCCGGGACCCGGCTCCACACTCGTCGGCCGGCTGGCCGTTTAAATAGGGGCGTAACCTATTATATACGCCCCTAGGTAGCCGGCGGCTAGTCCGGACCTACGTGAGCCTTAGGTTGCCCGTTCCCTCTGCCTCAGGCAGCATCCTCTACTAAGGGGTATATAAGGCGGCATCCCCCCCTTCCCCCTTCCCTTCCTTCTCTCCCTTCTTTAACCGCAGTAGCAGCATTAATAGGTAAGTTCCGCTCTACCCGGGGCGTTAGTCCGTTCCTAGCTATACGGGCCGCTCTATTAACGTATGCTCGTAGTAGCAGCGGTAGCAGCAACAATAGCCCTAACAACAACAATAACTCTAACTAGTAAGTTCCGCGCCTTATAGAGCGGGAGGCCGCATTCCGTCGTGCTGACTTCCGCGATAGATATATCCGCCTCTCCCTCTCCTACCTCCTCCTTCTCGGAGCGTGCGGAGTCGTTCGTCGACGCCGTGCTGGCCGCGGCCGACGACGACTCCGCCGCTGCCGCCGCTCCTGCCCGCGCCGCTGCCACCGCTCCCACCGCCGCCGCCGCCGCCTCTGCTGCGCTGTTCGCTCTTACGTCGCCCCTTAGGGTAACGACGCCGTCCCCGCCGCCACCCGTGACGCCCGGCCCCTCGGCCCCCGCCTCCGTCTCCGCCACCCCCGTAAGTCCGCAGTTAGGCAAGCGTAACAGACGTTGTCCGCTAACCTCCTATAGTATAAGCGCTAAGTATAGGCCGGCGCCGCCCGCTCGGCCCCCTATATGCGTTATGCGTCGCAGGAGCTCGACTGCTCCGACCAGGCCGGGCGCCGCCGCGGCGGCAGCTGCTACTAGTGCGCGCGAGCCGGCCGCGCCTATGAGGCGGCGCCTCCCGTCCTGCTCGCTGCGGCGTCGGCTTAGAAGGCCGGCTCGCACGGGCAGGCGCGGGGGGCTGCCAAGAAGCGCCTTACCGCCGCCGCCGCCGCCTACCGTAACCTCCGCGCCCTCGAGCGGTGGGGCCTTGTGCCTAAGTAAGTCCTACTCCTCCGCTCCCCTATTTCCGCCTCTAACGCACCCGGCGCTAGGGATACTGCCTCCGTCGCCCTATCGGCGGTCCCCTTGGCCGTGCCCGCCTCCGCCACCGCCGCTGCCCCTGCCGCCGCCGCTGGCCGCCGCCCTCTGCCCCCGCCGCCGCCGCCGACTGGCTTGCGGGCTTAGAGGGCCGCCTTAGCGCCCTAGAGACCGCCGCCGCCGCTAATAAGAAGGAGGAGGCCGACGAGGACGACGATAACGAAGATAATAATAACGATAAGGAATAGGCCCGGGTAGTCTAGGGGCTCCGCCCCGCAATAAACGCTGTTTTTATCTCCGCCCGTACTATTGCGCTTATATTGCCTATGTTGCCGTGACTGCCCCCTCCGCTATGCCTACTTCGTGGTCCTGGCCCGGGCTGCTGTCGGTGGTCCGCTGGTCCGTCGTTCTCGTCTACCGTTCCGAATAAGGCTTCGAACTTATCGAGGGCTACGGTTCCCGTAAACTTACGTGCGGGTTCCTACGTAGGGTCGAGATACCCGCGCCACTTAACGAGGACCTCCCGGCGTTTCCCCCTACCGACCTTTTTCTAGCGCGCGGCCCGTATCTCTTCGACCTCGAACTCGTCCTCTCCCTCTACCTCGATTACGGGCGGTTAGGCGTCCGCTACTTCTTATCCGGGCAGCGGGTTAGAGGAGGCTCTGCGAAGGAGGTCTACGTTGATCTTATTATAGACCCCCGTTAGGAGACTATCGAGCTCTATAACCTACGGGCTAATAACCCTCCGCACCGTAAACTTCGCGTGTAGCTAGTTAAGCTTCTTCTTTGGCCGCGCCGACCTATAGTTACGGAGGTCTAGCTATACCTTATCTCCTGCCGTAAACCTATCTGCTAGGGCCCTAGTCTTATTAGCGTGCCGCTC